CACAGATCACACAGATGTGTGATCTTGCATACCTTTGGTATATTTAAAAATAAAAGGAAAATTGAACTTACCATGACAGAGACCAGGATGGTGGTTACCAGAAACCCATTGGGGGGGTGAGTAGGAGAACAGGGTGAGACATCGATCAAAAGGTAAAAACTTTCAGTGATAAGGTGAGTAAGTTCTGGAGACCTAACATACAGACATAAAGGTGACTGTGGTTAATAATAATGTATAATGTATACCTGAAATTTGCTAAGAGAGTTGAACTTAAATGTTCTCACTACATATACAGTTAACTATGTGAGATGATAGATATGTTAATTAGTTTGATTGTCCTAATTATTTCAGTTTATATGTATATCAAAGCATATTGTACACCTTAAAATTTTTATTTCTCAATCATAACTAATAAAGCTAAAAAAATAGATGATTTTTTGACTTCATTAAAGTAGGAAACTTTAATCTTCAAAAGAAATTGTAAGAAAATGAAAAGGCAAGATAGACTGGTGGAAAATATGTGCAGAATATATATCTAACCAAGGCTGTTTATTCAGAATATACGAACAGCTCTTACAAGTCAATAGTAAGGAGATAACCCAGTAAACACCAGGATAAAAGTTTGGGCAGACTCTTCACCAAAAAAGATACATAGATAGAAAATAAGCCAATGAAAAGATCTTCAGCATCTTTTGTCATTAGTGAAATGCAAATTAAAATTATGAGAAATATTTTAGAATTAAAAATTTAGAACTTAAAATTGACAATGACAATACCTAGTCCTACTTTGGATCCAAGTGGAGCAGATTGACTTCTCATGTATTACAGGAAAGTTTACAGCCACTTTGGAAAACAATTGGACAGTTTCTTACAAAGTTAAACGTACATTTGCCATGTGACCCAGCCATTCCACTCCTAGGTATTTACCCAAGAGTTAGGAGAACATATCCACATAAATGTTCAGAGCAACCTCATTCATGATAGCCTAAAACTTGGAACAACCCAGATATCTATCAACTTGTGGTATATACTATACATAAGATGGAATTCTACTTGGGAATAAAAAAGAACAAAGTACTGATACATGCACCAACAGAGATAAATCACAAAATCCTGTGTTAAAAATTTCTTAACTGGTTCTAAGAGGGAATTTACATAGCAATACAGGCCTGCCTCAAGAAACAAGAACAATCCCAAATAGACAGTTTAAACTCACAATTAAAAAAATTAGGAAAAGAAGAATAAATGAAACCCGAAGTTAGTAGAAGAAGGGACATAATAAATATCAGAACAGAAATAGGTAAAATAGAGAGGAATAAAACAACAGAAAAAATCAACAAAACCAAGAGCTGCTTCTTTGAGAAAATAAACAAAATAGACAAATCCCTAGCCAGACTTACCAAGACAAGAAGAGAGTATACAAATAAACAAAATCAGAAACAAAAAAGGAATAGTCACCCTGGATAATGCAGAAATACAAGGAATTATTAGAGAATTCTATGAAAAATTGTATGCCAATAAATTGGATAACCTAGAAGAAATAGACTAGTTTCTAGAAAAATACAACCTTCCAAGACTGATCCAGAAAGAAGCAGAAACTCTGAACAAAACAATTACCAGTAATGCAATTGAATTAGTAATCAAAAACTCCCAACAAACAAATTCCAGGACCAGATGGCTTCACGGCTGAATTCTACCAAACATTTAAAGAAGAGCTAATGCCCATCCTTCGTAAAGTATTCCAAAAAGTAGAAGTGGAGGGAATACTTCTAAACTCATTCTGAGTCTAGCATCACTCTAATATTAAAACCAGACAAAGACACAACAACAAAAAAAGAAAACCATAGATCAGTGTTGCTGGTGAACATGGATTCAAAAATCTTCAGCAAGATATTAACAAACTGAATTAACAAATACAATAAAAGGATCATCCATTGCAACAATGTGGGATTTATTCTAGAGATGCAATTATGGTACAATATTCAAAGATCAATCAACATCATACATCACATTAACAAAAAGAAGGATAAAAACCACACAATCACCTCAATAAATGCTGAAAAAGCATTTGACAAAATTCAACATCCATTCATGAAAGAAACTCAACAAAATGGTTACAGAGGGTATGTACCTCGACATAATAAAGGACGTATATGACAAACACACAGGCAACATCATACTCAATGGCAAACAGCTGAATGCTTTTCCCCTAAGATCCAGACAAGACAAGGATGCCCCCTCTCACCACTTTTATTCAACTTAGTACTGGAGGTCCTAGCCACTGCAGTCAGACAAGGTAAAGAGATAAAAGGTATCCAAATTGGTAAGGAAGAAGTAAAACAGTCTTTATTTGCAGATGACATGATATTATACATAGAAAACCCTGAAGATGTCACCAAAAAACTATTAGAGTTAATTCAGCAAAGTTGCAGAATACAAAATTAATACACAGATATGTTTCATTCTTATATACTAACAAAGTAGCAAAGAGAAATCAGGAAAATAATTGTAGCAGAAAGAGAAATCAGGAAAATAATTCCATTTACAATTGCATCAAAAAGAATAAAATACCTAGTAATAAACCTAACCAAAGAGGTGAAACACCTGTACTCTTTAAACTATAAGGCACTCATGAGAGAAATTAAAGATACAAATAAATGGAAATTTATCCAATGCCCATGGATAGGAAGAATATCAATTAGTTCTTGAAGTCAGAATTGCCCACAGCAATTTACATATTCAATTCAATTCCTATCAAAACACCAATGACATTTTTCAATGAACAGAGCAAATAATCCTAAAATTCTTATGGAACCACAAAAGATCCCAAATAGCCAAAGCCATCCTGAGAAAGAAGAATTAAGCTGGGGGAGATTGCACTCCCTGACTTCAAGTTCTACTACAAAGCTACAGTATGTTACTGGCATAGTAACAAACCCATAGATCATGGAACAGAATAAAGAACCTAGATATAAACCCACACATATATGGTCAATTAATATATGATAAAGGATCCGTGAATATACAATGGGTTGGGAAAACTGGACAGACACATGCAAGAGAATGAAACTGGATTACTGCCTAACTCCATACACAGAAGTAAACTAAAAATGGATCAAAGAGCTAAATGTAAGTTGTGAAACCATAAAACTCTTAGAAGGAAACAAGCAAAATTTCCTGAATGTGAGCATGAGCAGTTTTTCCCAGACACATCTCCCTGGGCAAGGGAAACAAAGTAATAAATGAACAAGTGGAATTACATCAAATGGAAAAGCTTCTGTACAGCAAAGGACACCATCAGCAGGACAAAAAGGCAGCCTATAGAATGAGAGAATATATTTGTAAATGATTCTTCTGATAAGGGGTTAACATCTGAAATACATAGAGAATGCATATGCCTCAACACCAAAAACACAAATAACCCAATTAAAAAATGGGCAGAGGACATGAACAGACATTTCTCCAAAGAAGAAATACAGATAGCCAGAAGGCATATGAAAAGATGCTCCACATCACTAGTCATCAGGGAAATGCAATCTAAAGCACAATGAGATACCACCTCACACCAGTCAGAATGGCTGCCATCCAAAACATAAATAACAAGTGTTGGCGATGATCTGGAGAAACAGGAACCCTCCTACACTGCTGGAGGGAATGTAAATTGGTGCAGCTACTATGGAAAGCAGTTTGGAGTGTCCTCAAAAAACTAAGAATACCATATTACCCAGTAATTCCACTTCTAGGAATTTACCCAAAGCAAACAGTATCTCTGATTCAGAAAGATATATGCACCCCTATGTTTGTCACTGGATTATTGAGAATAGGTAAATTATGGAAGCAACCTATGTGCCCATGAATAGATGAATGGGTAAAGAAGATGTGGTGTACATACACAATGGAATATTACTAAGTAATAAAAAATGAAATCCTGTTGGACAGTGACTGCAATGGGGTATGTGGTGGGGACTTGATAATAGGGGGGGATGTAGTAACCACAATGTTACTCATGTGAAACCTTCATAAGATTGTATATAAAAAATACCTTAATGAAAAAAAAAGAAATCCTGTCATTTGCTACAACATGGATGGAATTAAAGGGTATTATGCTCAGTGAAATAAGCCATGATAAGAAAGACAAATAGTATATAATTTCACTTATTTGTGGAACCAAAAAACAAAACAAAACAATGAACAACATAGCAGTAGACTCATAGACACTGAGAAATGACTGGTAGTTACCATGGGGAGGGGACTAGAGGGGCCTAAAAGTTCTCAGTCATAATACAGGTTTGTTCGGGGGGTAGTAGTATAGCATGGGGAATATAGCCAATGATTCTGTAACATCTTCCTATGTTGACAAATAGTAACTTCACTAGTGGGGGTGAGTATTTAATAAGATGGGTAACTGTCGAACCACTGTCTTTTATATTTAAAACCAGTGTAAGATTGTATATCAGTTAAAAAAAAGAATTTCTTATGGATTCTAGAAAAAGCACAGTGGTAGTGATAGAAAGGTCACTGTTTACAGAGAATTGGTGGGAGGAAATTGACAGCAGATGCCAGCAGGAAGGTTTTTGGGGTGACTGAAATACCACATATCATGATTTTGATGATGATTACATACCCATTTGTTAAAATTCATTGGTTAATTTTATTCATTGTAAATCATTCCATAGTAAAGCTGAACAAGAAAAAAGTTGTTTTTTTTTTTTTTAAATGACAAAGCTTCCTTGAAGTTATAGGAAGGTTGGAGAGAATAAAAGGATTCATTCTGTTTTGGGACATCCATAAGAAAGGGTCTGCATGCTTTGGCAGAAAAGGGAGAAAGGCCCTTGCTAAGAAGGTAGCTATCTAGCTTCACTCATCAGTTAAAGGTAAAATTATATTCAGAAAAAAAAGCAATTTCACTTAATAACAGGTAATTGCTGTTATACTTAATAAATCGAATGTTTAATTTTTAGCTTCTTATTAACTATTACCATCATTTTAATTCACTTTAGAAATATAAACCTGGTCGATGTGATGATATTTTAAAATGGAAGCCTCCCAGTCTGAATTCTGTGGATTTTCGCCTAAAAATAACAAGAATGGGAGGAGAAGGGTAAGTGTGCACTTTGTTCCTCCCCCAGTTTTACATGAAATAATACTGTTTGTATAAGGCTTCACTGCTTACCAGGTATTTTGCATATATTTTATTAAAAAAAGTAAAATAACTTTAGTTTACAGTATCCTTACATACATATTTATACATCTGTTTGACAAATTATTTCTTAGACCTATTACAGCTAACATTTTGTAGCATCCTTGAAATTTACAAATTTTCATATTAAAATAGTTATCTTTAATATAAAAAAGTGAACCTTGTTAAATTGCAAAAGTGAAAATAGATTTTACCAAAGGTAGTCCTGTTAAGTGAATTATGAAGATCAGATATAATAATTATTATTATAATTAAGTTTTTTGAAATAAGCTTTTTTATTTTGGAGCAAACTACTTTATATTTGCATTTGCATAGCAAACATTTATCCATATTTTATTAGGGTAATGTATTAGTTGTTGAATTTCATTAGGATTTTTCATAATGGTCATTAAATGTTTTTTCATTTATTGGTTAATCTTCCTTTCCTGACTTCATTGGCTGCTATTTTAGAATAAAAGATGCTTTAGCATAAATATTTTCATTGTTTTTTCACACGCTTATTTTATTTGTCATGTTTCACTAATTTTCATGACATCTTATTTAAGTAAATTCCTAACAAGTAAGAAATGTTTGAGTAAAGAATCCGTAAAGAGAAGGTAAATAAGATAACACTGGTAGAAAGCTTTAAAAGTTTACCAATGCATGCCATGAAATATTTTTTACTTGCCATAGGTAAGCTACAGACTTGCATTTTTGCAGCTAATGGAACACAGGATTTGTAAACAGTTATATGCATCCGGACTCTGGAAGATTAAGTCTCTTAAGACTGTGCATTATTAAATAAAGGATTCTGTGCAATGTGGTGAATCCTAAGTAAAAAGTGTTTAATAAGTCATGTGGTGTCAGTTTTCAAAAAGTAAAGTATTAAATGTTTAATATATTTAAAGAAGAGTTTGTGACTTAATAGCAAAGTGTAGTTTAGTAAGAACAGTTATTTGGGGAACCACATAGTTTTGTTCAGGTATTTTACTCTGTATTAGTCTGATTTAACTCAAGGATGGACAGATAAATTTTTGACTGTTTATAGGATTAGATGGTGTGTGTGTGTTTATGCATATTCCATATAAAAATGTCAAAGATTAAACAACAGGAATAATATTGGCAATCCAGAATATCTGTACATCAGATACTTTGTTAGGAAGAATAATCTTATCAGTATACAATGATATTACTTATCAATACTTAATCCAAAATACTATTTCTTCAATTTTTGGATAAGTATTTACATTAATATTAATGTTGGTAGCATATTAATTATTAATAGATATTGTCAATGAAAGGTATATTAATATAATAATAGTAATTAATAAATATTAAATACTAGTAACAATGAAATATTGTTAATATTTCTTGAAAATTGCCCCCACACTAACTGTCTGTCTACCTCTCTCTTTGGGTATTTTAGATGGTTAGTTGTAGTATGTTAGAGAGCATTGTAAGAAATATGCCTGCAATAGTTTGAGAGGAGAATAGCCATGTCTCTGAATCATAGGAATCATATTTTCCATATGATTGGTGAAGTGGGACTAAGATATTAAATTACTGAAACAACCATTTTTTTTTTCTTGATTGCATTTCTAAGTATTTCTACAAAGCATAAAATGGGGTGGAATTTCTTGAAAGGTACAAATACCAATCTTTGACAATGTCTGCAATGATTTTTGTTTTTATTGTAGTCTTAGGCTTTTATAGTATGATTTTGAGTCTCAGCTACTATAATAAAGTGGCTGTAGTATAGATTCTGTTAGATTAAAATGTAATAGAAATAGAAAAATCCATTGTGTAAAGTGCCCTGTTGATGGCAATTAAAACCTAAACTTTGCTCTTTCACTCCTTTTAGTATCATTCTGAAAATTTGAGGTATATTAACTTAATATTGATTTATCATGGCCTAAATCAACTTCTGTATGTCTTAGCAGCTTACATTGTATTGAGCTGTATGTAGACACACAATGTAGATTTTCATCTGAGAGGTGTACACTGTTTTGAAAAAAATGTGACTTTATGTTAACCAATCTACAACCAAAAACCATGGTCACTGTCAAAGCTAAAGGATTATAAAGGTTGTCTGTATTCAGGAAAGTGAAAACTCTTAAGTATAATGTCAGTGACTTAACAGCAAGCAGTATTAACTTAATATTTGTGTAAAATAGTAATTTAGACAGCAAATTCTGGAACTAGACTGCCTGAGTTTGAATATCTTTATTAGCTGTGAGACCTTTAGCACATTATTTTTTTCTGTGCCTCAAATTCGTCATCAATGAAAAAGGAGTCAGCCTCATAAGACATGTAATGATTAAATGAACTAATATATGTAAAATGTTTTAGAACAGATGGCACATGGTAGGCATTCAAATGTTTGCTATTATTTTTGTTTTAATTAAAATAGATTTAAAGTCTCTATTTTCTTTTTATAGCTCCTACAATTCCATTATTTGCTGGACTGTGTAAAATTCAGTTTTCTGTGTAAAGCATATCCTGTTTGAGTCTAATCCTTTAAAATGTTTACCTTTTAAAATGCATATATCTTCAACTTATTTGTATAATTAATCATAAGTTGTTAAACACCTATAGAACAAGAACATAACAAAGTCACAAAACTTTTTTTTATATAATTTTTTTTGTAACAAATCTCTTAAAATAACCTGGGCAATATATAGTGGTTAAGAACATGGGCTCTTGGCCAAGACTGCATAGAACCGAGTCCTAGATACATTACTCACTCGCTATTACAGTCTTGTTACTTAATTTTTCTAAGCTTCTCACTGTAAAATGTCCACAGTAACACTGTTTATCTCATAGATTTTCTTGTGAAGATTTAATCATACAAAAATTCTGTGAGTAGGTAATTAGAAGTAATATTGAGATGTAGTTTGACCCATGTATTTGGCTGAGTGAGAAACTATATCATATATTTGGCTACAGATTTAAAATATGTACCACATCCTATAAGAACACCATCCTTTTAAGGTGTAGTTTCCTAACTGGTGTTATAACTGAATTTTCAATTGACTGTTCTGCTGTGTTGTTAAGCCAGCTGCTTTTAGGTGAGGGGTAAGACCAGTGAATATCAAGGCCATCAGCCCATTGCCCCCCTTAGTTTACTAAGGAGTAACTTTTCTTGCAAACCAGGTTAATGAAGAAGACATTCCATAAGTCCATAGCAGTGATGGTAATAGAAACTTTAAGGAGAAAAAGGGATATTTTATTTGGAATACTTAGGTGATCCAGTGAGGGGAAATTGCTGCCCCCTCCATGATGGAAGAAGTCAGTGTGCTTAACCTGCCGCAGTGACTGACAATATGCTCATACGCTCTCAGGGGGCCTGGTGATCCTCACTCTGGGCTAGTGGCTGGCTAATCTCCCTGGGGACGGGCATTGCATCAGGGGCCTCAGTATGGTGTCAGCTGTTGGCAGGTTGAGCACTTACAGGTAGCTCTGGTGAGGAAAAAAGTCCACGTAAGCCACAAATCACTTCCCTTGCCAGGAAATCACTTCAAATTCCCTACCTCACATTTACTCAGAATACACTTGGCTTAAAAGGCTGACAGTTTGGAGTTGATATGAGGAGTCGGACATGTTTACATTATTTTAACTTAATTTTTCCTTGGATCCTTAATCTTTTATTTTTAATTTTCAAATAGTCCTTTCTGTTTCTCTTTTTTAAAAATTTGTTTTATTTATTTGTTTTTTAATTTATTTCTTGTTTTGTAAATTATGATCACAAAAATGTTCCTGAACAAACTTCCCTCCTCCTTTCCCCTAGAAGTCAGCCCAGAATACCATGGACTGGGTGGCTTAAACAGTAAACATTTATTTTTCACAACCTGGAGGCTGGGAAGTCTGAGAGCAGGGTGCCAGCATAGCTGGGTTCTGGCAAAGGGCTCTCTTCTGGGTTGTGGACTTCTCATTGTATCCTCACGTAGTAGAAAACAAGAGCCAGCTGTGTGGCCTCTTCTTTATAAGGGCACTAAACCTGTTCATGGGGACTTCACCCTCATGACCTAATGACCTTCCAAAGGCCCCACCTCCAAATACCATCACTTTGGGGACTAGATTTCAATTATCAGAATTTTGAGGGAACGTAAATGTTCAGTCATAACAGAGGGAATAAAGATATTCCTTATAGTCTAATATTTTAGTATTTATTAATAATATGTTCTAGTTAGGTTCTATTGTAATCACTCTTGAGTTTGTCAAAGGCCTTTTAAACCCATATTCTCCTGAGTACCTGACTCTAGAGTGAAATGGTTTCTTGAAACTTCCACGTGTAAGACACGAAGCTCAGTGTGCAGCTCAGCTACTGCCGCGCTTCTCTTGCTCTTTGTCAGTATAATCTATTATTTTAGATAGAAATCATGTGCATTGTGTTTTTATTTTTTCTTTATATGTACTTCAAATATATAATCAGGTTTATAATAGTCAAACTCATCCATATTTTAAGTGGCTCTGGTGCTCATTGAGTCATTTTATACCTTGACTTTACTCTTTTTCCAGAACTTTTCTTCAGTTCAAGTATATTTTCACATAATGTTCTTAAGAAGTATTCTTATTTAACACTTCTTCATAACCAGAATTCTTTCTGTTGTGGCTTAATTTGCAAAAAAAAATATTGCATTGATTAGGAGAAAATAAGATTACAACAGCTGTTATGGATTCATTTTTATTATCTAATAGTTAATTTGAAATACTAATTCTGTTACTTCTATTCATTGTTTCTAAGAAACTTTTTCTTCAGACAGATAAAGACATTTTTTTGCTTTTAGGATCTTTATAATGTCTTTAGGTCATCAGAAATCCTTGAAAAGTAGAGAATTTTCATTTATTCCTAGAAGTATATTTCTGAGTTTGTATTGTATACATAAAGGGGTTATTCTCCATGGTATTACATTATCTACTGC